TTTTTTATAAATTTCAGTAAAGTTTTTGATTGCCTTAATCATTAAATGCCTATCGACAAATTATACCAGTACGGCATTCCTGGTTCATAGCCCTTCGCTTGCATTTTCATACCTAGATGAAAGTAGCCAGTGTGTATAGATTCATAGTTATTTATCATATTTTATGCCTATGAGATATAGTATCCTCCAGAGTAGAATATCGGGGCCCTTACACTTTAATGTTTATATTAATGATATTATTAATATTAGTGATCAAAATAATTTTCTAATATATGTTAATGACACCAGTCTGTTCCTCGCTGAAGCAGATGCAGATAACTTAACAACCAAAGTAAATATTGTCCTCTCCAAATTTGCAACGTTTTCAAAATTTGTAGAAGAACTTGTAGTTGGGCTAGATTGTGAGCGTTACAAGGCCTAATGTAAGGCACAAAAAACAACAGACACAAAAAAAAGGCACACACAGGCGCCATTCTTAACTATACTTGAAAATTGCAGGAAATAAAAAAAGCATATCTCGTCACCTTCATCAAGTCCACGCATGCGCTTGGCCGGCGAATACACGCTTTATCATCCATTCACGAAAACTTCTGTAAAAATATTATCTCCTCGTTATACAGTGCAATAGATGTTTCACATATGCATTGTGTGTCCCCTTTTCCTAATAAAGTGTGCTTCCATTACCTTGCGCGCTTTCTGGCTTTTGCCCTTACCCAGAATCGTTGTTTCAGAAAGGCGCAGCTCACCCTTACATCTCCTGCAGTGTTCATGCGAATGAGCCCCAACAATCGTCTTTACATTTCGCGCGCGCTTCCTTCCTCGGTTATTCGCCTGTCTCCCCGTTTGTCCTACGTAGGACTTTCCACGTGTAAGGGGAACTTCGTATACCAGCCCCATGACGCATTCAACATACGGCCTGACATGCTTTGAGGTGCAACCTCGTTTTATACCGTCGACACCGGTAATACGAAAGCAAAATTGGAGGAGTTTACTCAGAGTTGAATAAACGAGATGTACTTTAAAGTGGTTTGCCACCTTCTTGAGGTTGTGCAACATTTTGTGCACGTACAGTACTACCTCAGGCTTCAATTTGCTCTGTGCCGTTTGCGTCTTTCCCGTACTGGCATGTCCTTTTAATGCGAAATCATTAACTGTCCCATGGGCAGAGCCGACGTCATCAGCCGCACCAAACGGTACCTAAATTCCCTTCTCCCAAAGGAGCGAAGTGAAGCCGCGATCTGAGGCATCCCAGCTTTGAAGCCGTGAAAAAAGTAACGCAAAACGGCAGATAAATTCACCTCTTCAAAAGGAGAGAAGTGACAGATTATACTCCCATTGACTGGCGCGCGTCATCAAGGAACAAGGCTCATATTGGCTCTCGACCAGCGTGGTTCCAAAAACCGCCACCAGAGAAGCCCTCTTTATGGTGGCGCAGCGCACGCAGCGGCACGGCGAGGTTCGGGTGGTGCGTCGGTGCGAGCCTGGCCACAGAGCCCGTTTGGCCGAACTCGGAGGAGGTTGTACAGCCGAGCTCAGCGCGACTCACAAGATCGCGCGCTCAACCGTTAGCCGCTACCTCGGCAGCCGTCGGCCGCTACGCCGCAGACGAGCTAAGGGAGCGGAAGAACAACATTCATGCTTTCAAACTCACAACTCGTAAGAAGTGCTTATATGTCCTCGGACTACTTTTCGAAGGGTGCCTTCTACCACATTCGTCACGACAGTTACAAGGTAGCCCGCTGACAACAGTCTAGTCACTTGGTTCTTAAAGCTTGTCTGCATCCGGTGTGCACACGACTTTCTGAGGGCCGACTCTAGGCATAACGTGGAGATTCCTCTTTTTACTACCCTAGAATGCGCGGAATCACCTGGCAGGAGTTCCTTTCGGGACCGTAGGGAATAAACCCAACTCGTGTGTCCTTCTAAGATCCCCCCCTACTGCGGAGGGGTCCCCTTCATTGGGGTTCCTCCTTGGGAGAAGGGGAAAACAAATATCACTCCGGGGCGGTGCTTGTTCGACTAACCTGTTGTCCTCGACCATCGTTGACCCACTGGTGTCGCCCTTTTGTGCCCCTTCGCGGAATCGGGCTGGTGACGGGCTCTGCTTAATCCTTTCTCCCTATCGGTTCCTCCTATGTCGTTCTTTTAGCGAGGCACAGTTTGTTTTTGGTGCAGCTCCCAATTGATTTTGAGATTAAATTTCTTATTGATCCAAGAACCCAATTCATTTATATTGAATTGGCTTTAAATCAGGTGTGCCTATACAGGCGGTACCGATCGAGGATCATATATTTTTCATCCTTTAACTTTCTCAACCTAACGCAAGTCCTTTAGGACCTTAAAACTCAAATTTAAAAACTATAAATTACCTTTGTTTTAAGTGTATTATTCTTTCTGTCCTCTTTGTAGAATACCCTGCTTAGGCAGTTCATGGGGGAAAGTTAATCATACCCACGGTGTCTACAAACCTTCAACACTTCAAGTCTCAATAAAACAATAAAAAAATCATCGACGTATCTAACAATTCCAAAAAAAAACGTTAAAGTCACAAAGGAACTTTTCAATCGTCCGATTTATTGCTGCTAAAAAAACTTTACACTGTATGGGGGCCACGGACGACTTAATGCAGATGCCTCTTCGCATCTTAAGTCCATTCAAATTTGAATGGACTTCAGGTTAATAAAACAAAAACCAAAGCAATTTAATTTCGATCAATCAATAAGCAAATCACTTTGAACAAAACTCTCCAATTTAATGCTATGCTGGTTGAAATGGTGAAAAAACCATAAGCGTTAAATTTTTAAAAAATTTGTCTTGGGATCAGGATCACCATATCAATGATATAAGTATGAATTATGCGAAATTGTCGGTGTTATAGCTAGATTTTGTGCCATTTTAACCAAAAATATTAAATCACAAATATATCACGCTTTATTATTTTCAAATAAATAACTGTCACCTTGTCTGGGGTACGACGACCAGATTAAAACTAAATAAAATAATATTACTTTAAAAAAGTTTTCGCTTTATTGGAAACGCTGCTTTCTTATTTCACACATAATCCCTATTTTGCAAATACAAAATTATCAACATATATCGATTGTATGAATACCTCCTCGCTAGGTGATTTTGTTTTTCATCTCCCGAAGTGATTAGCTTTGTGAAGCATGCATCAAATGTAACCCAAAATATAACCACCCCCCCGCACCCGCTGTTCAGAGGAATGGAAGGTGTCTCATTACCGTACAAATTACAGTTTACAATCTAACCTATCGACAGTACTCAATAAATATTGCATGGATATATCATTGACATCTATAGCTTAGAGACCGTAAATCACTGTACCTACTTTTTTGTGTAATACGTACAAACGTATTATTTTATGTAAACCGTTTTTCTAATGTTTCCTTTTTTCAGTGCATATATGTTACTTTGATTGTTTTCTGAATCGCCATTGCCCTCTGCAAAGCACAAGGGCCCGGACCTCGATCGTGAAGGCAACAATGATTGGCTTTTTTTGTCCGTGGCTCCAGCATATGTATTTTCAGATGTAATAAGATGATTTTATTTGATTTGTTTTGAATTAGAAATTCATTACCGGAAGTAAATTTTATACTGCTTGCCATCTGCTTACGCTTGAAACCACACACTAGCGCCAGCTAAACCCCTAGCTTACATTATAATAGCTCTGTGGGTTAATGACGCAAAGTTAACTGCATTGGTCTCTACCCGCTGTTCGAACAGGTTCGAACGCCGTCGTCTGGCGTCCGAGGCAGGGAGATGCTTTAGTCGTCCCACCCTAAGCGCACGCTTTCTACCTTTGACAAAGTTTCAGCGTCTCCTCGAGCGTGCAGGCGCATCCAAAACAAGGAGGAAGGCAATGAGCGTGTGCTGGAGGCTTAGCATTCGGAAAAGACGCCCAGCCTTTCACATGCTGTCAGTGACTCTACCTGTGTGAAGAAGCATACGAAGCAGGGTAATAAATAATGACCAAACAAGAAGATTATGCTTTATACAGGTTTTTATTATAAAATATTATAAAATGACGATGTTATTTTACGAGACAAAGCACAAATGGGTCTTCACATGAATGTACAAAATGGATATGTAACATTAAAATCTCCGGTGACGATCTTGGAAGCAGTTCATTTTCCAATCAAGAGTGTACGCAGGGAAATGGTGGGGCAGCTCTCTGCGTCGTTGGATTGCATCGATGCGATGCTGAAATGTACTAGATGTCCCCTGGAACTGCACAAAGCTACAAAGTGTGTTTGAGGAGATTGAACAGAACTTGCTATTGGTTTGACTTATCCTATTTTGATTTCTAAAACAAAAAAAATTGATTCAAGCTGACCAAATATTCACAGAAGCAATCGCAAACTAGATTTTCACACACACCATCCCTCAGCGCTTCTGGTCCCTCATTCGTGTTGTAAGCAAAGCTGATACCTGCCAAAGTCGCACATCTCAAAAATGATAGCGCCCCCCCCCCCCCCCCCCCCATTTCGGTTCACATAAATAAAACACTGAAAGAAGACAAATTGATTGACGCGAAAAGCCCACTCGGCGCCATTAATTCAGCCGGTATACAGTAATAACTTTTGCAGCCAATTTAGTATTCTTCAAAATTTCGTATACGCATATCATCCCAGAAGATCGATCAGTGATTCTTGTTTACGCAAAAGGAAGGGATAGTTTCTCCTAGGTGACTGAATCGCTTCGCAGTAAGTGCATCGCCATTCTAATGTTTTTTTATAACATTGGCTGCCATATCCAAGACGTTTTCCAGGTGGTAATGAGACGATCCGCAGTATCAACTTCAAAAGCGCCCCGTATTTTTTGAGTTTCCAGCGACATGTAAAAGACTGACGATCGCTAGGCAAGCTCATGATCGAAGTACAGTTGAATTGTGGCGCTGGGGTTCGCTGGTCCTTGGCGTCATTCATGAGGAGCGTTCGCGATGAAGCTGCCGTCGGCCCTCACGGCGAGGGATGCAGTGGCTAAAGGTCGTCACTCTCCGACGGGCGGAAGGCGGAGTTCTCGGCGATCCTCTGGGCGGCGATGGTCTCGAGGGAGCTCCTCATGGACGGGTACTGGGACAACACCTCGTTGAAGTTCTCCACGGACAGTGAGAACAGGTCGCAGTAGGTCTCCGCGATAACGCTGGCGCTGCGCGTCGTTTTGGTCAACAGGCAGATCTCTGCACAGAAGACGAATGACCTATTACGAATGACCTATTTGTGTCGCACAAATGTAGCTTATGAAACGAACTGAGTGAACAGTACATTAGAACCACCCTCCCAGTCTCTGACGTGATGTTTCTGCGTTCTTTCTTCTCAGCCCTTTCTTACTACGAGCCAAGACTTCCGCTTAGACTCTGACTCTTTGCTTATGTTTTCCTGTAGAATAGCGTAGTTACCAAACACGAAAAGATATAAATTATATATACACAAGCCTTTGAGAATCGGCGTCTATACCGTACGGAGCCTCCAGGAAGATCACAGAGGAAACCTTCGCTAGCACTCGCACATTCGATCATGGACCTTTCCACTCGAGCTCTATGTACCTCGCACATCCACCCTGCGTTTTGCTTCACATAACTTAAAATAGCTGGCGCATATCGGTTCCGTAAATACTCTGGCAAAGATAAAAGAGACAGCGTCCACGAGCGATGTTCCCATAAACGCCTTATTTTTCTCAGCTGAAGGCCTGCGCTATCTGCGGCGCCGAAAAGTATATGCCGGGAAGTCTAGGTACAGAACAAGTTGTAGCAGACGACGGAGACGATGGGGAAAATCGAAGGCGAGAGCACGCGAGCAAACGGCGTGTCCTCTTTCTCTCTCGCTCTCTTCACTGTCTAGTGGTAGACGCTGCGGTGGCAAAGGAGAAACGCACAGGACCTGGCGCGCGGATGTTTGGGATTTGTGCAAAAAGCTATATTAATTACCAGCCGACCGCTGCCGCAGCACTCGTATCAAACTTGCATCCCGCGCAGGCCACCGGTGGGTGACGCAAGAAATTCAGAAATTACGGCATTGTTATTCGGGAAAGGTTGACGGTATACGCACCTCCGAAGTGCGATCCCTCGGAAAGCGTGCCGATGAACTGCGTGCCGTTGAGGACGATCTTGACGGTGCCCGACTGGATGAAGTACATGGAGCGCCCGAGGGCCCCCTGCTGGATGATCACGTCCCCGGGCTGGAAGAACTCGTAGCGCAGCCGAGTCACCACGTCGCTCACGAAGCTCGGGTCCGCGTGCGACAGGAATGGCACCGCACGTACGGAGGCGCGACAGTTGTGCTTCATCACGTCCTGCATGCGCGCGTCAGCCATAGGTTACCGCGTGGCACAGAAGGCCATCTCGGTGCACGCTCACTGGTGACCTTTCAGACGCACGCCAAGGCTACAGATGGCGCAAGCTACCGCCCGTTACAAAGGGCATAGCCAATATCATCCATCCATTCATTCATACCCCGAACGCAGGCAGGATTACGGAGTTATCTGCGGTCACGCCTCAACCTTGTTCGAAGCATGTTTGCTTCATACATGTTCGAAAATGTCTGCAGACAGGTTTTTGTATGAGGAGCGCGACCGCAGAACAATAAAGAAACAAAAAAGTGGGCTAGTGAAAGTAAATAACTCGAAAGCTAATAGAGAAAGGAGTACATATTGAATTTACAGTTCGAAAATAACAACTGGTTCCCGTAATGCAGTCATTCATATTAAGTATTCTTTTGACCGACACGGATCAGTTGAGTGATTATGTTTCGGATTCTGTGCAGGTGCAAACTGGGGGGAGAGGAATGAATGAGAACGCGCGGGGATGCCACAACGCCGAGAATGTGTCTTGAATGACGAGTGGAATTCGTTATTTCACTTCTACCAATGACATGTGCGGCGTACCTCTCTGAGTGGCTGGGAGAGATCTTCCAAGATGGCCTCCTCGTCGAACACTTTGCCCATCTGCCGGTGCTCAAAGTAGTTGCGCACTCGGAATCTCAGATCCCTGGGTATCCGCCGGTACTGCATGTAGTCCTCGATCTGCTCCATCTGCATCCAGCACAAACATGGTACCGTTTAAAGTGCTAGGTCTCTCGAAGCATATCTTAAGGCCTAAAACAGCAGTTTCTGGAACTGATACCGAACCTACATAAATCTGTATAACTAGTTTCACACACCTGTATATTTGCATCCACAAAAACATAAAATAACCCCATTATAAGAATCCCAAAACACTGAATCCAACTTAGCATTGTCACTAGGACACTTAAAATATGAAGAGCAGTTTTGGTAGTGCAGATTAGAACACTGCACGGGCCGGAATTCTTAGGCCCGGTAGATACACTGCCCGGGCCCGGCCCGAGCCCGAGAGAATATATAATTTCTAGGCCAGGCCCCCGACCCGGCCCGGTAGAGACACGGCCCGGGCCCGGCCCAAGCCCAAAATTCTTTTTTTTTTTTTTTTTTTTTAGATATGGGCTTGAGCTTGGCCCGAGCCCGACAGATTATAAACATGGGCGTGAAAAAATTTAGAGGCTTTAAGCTCTAAGCTGTCTAAGCATGAAGCGCGCACTCTCCCACTATTCTGGTGGGGTCCATGCATTTTATTTTACCCACTTGAAGGTTTTCCAAAATGCTAAACGTATTTCTTTTTTTTTTTTTTCTTTTTTTTAACGGCGCCGTAATGATTTTGCACTTGGCTTTCTTGTTTTCATTGAACCTAAAAGTTCAAGGAGCACACTTTTTGTTATGAACAATTTCGAATTTGTGGCACAGGACCGCCCAGTCACGGCTTGGGCCGGCCCGGGCCGGCCCGGGCCGGCACGGTCCGAAAAATGTTTTGTTCAAGCCCGAACCCGGCCCGAGCCCGAGAAAATGCGTGCTACCCGGCCCGAGCCCGGCCTGCGAGTCGGGCCGGGCTCGGGCTTTCGGGCTAGCCCGGGCCCGTGCTGTGCTCTAGTACAGATTGCTGGCCACCGCTAAGAAGGTAGAACTGCCAACTCTGCCAGGCTTTCATAAGATGGTTTCAAGACAGATTAAGTATTCTTGAAGCATTCCTAACGTATCGCTAATGCAATCCTGACACATTACGGGTATATTCTTGACATACGCCCGACGTATATTCCCGAAGTATTCCTGACATAAGGCTGACGTATTCCTGATATATGCCGACGTACTCCTGGCACAATCCCGACGTCTTCCTTCTATATGCCTGAGGTATTTCTGACGTATTTCCCTGATTCAGGGATGGTTTTTGTTTGAGCGTACCTTTTCCCTGTGGAGGCGTTTGGTGTAGTCGATGCTCTGGATGAGCGTGGTGGCGTGCCCCACGAGCAGCGCATAGCCCGTGGCTCCGGTCAGCATGCCTAGAGAGACGAGCCACATGTCCACCACGGTGTGGGGTGCGTTCTGTCCGTAGCCGATGGATAACATCTGGGACATGGCGTTGAACAGCGACCACGAGTATTGCTCGAACTTAGACTTGTCCTGTCGCCGCCCAAGAGAAGCACAGAAAGAGAATACAACTGGAAATTATCTACTTAGATACGGAACATAGTCCCGGAAAAATAAGAACAATCCAAGACCAGTAAGTAATTGAAGGCTCTCTTAAAACGTTTCTCCAGGAAAGTGATGGACATTTAGGGGAAAAACCCTTGTGTCTATCTTAAGTACTCTACTCAAGATACTGTATTTCAAATACACTAGTTCCGTCAGCGAAGGATTGTGGCGCCAGCGCTCGATACGGTAACAATGAAAATTTGTGTGGAAATCGTAGGTTCGGAAGTTTTAGTAAGAAAATGCGCGAACACGTTTTTGTGCGAGCACAGAAACTCCCTCGCCCAAAGAAGTTAGATCCTGCTGGCTTCATTGAGCTGCAGTGGCCTATAATGGGTTTTCCCAAAGCTCCTTGTGTGCCTATTGTGGCTCAAAAGCTCGTTCACAAAAGCGTTTCTTTCATCTCCTTCCAAATGCGCGCAATGTTCCGTCCTCAAAATCCTCAAAACCAGTTTTCCGCCAAGTGAATTCATTTATAAACTAGTGGATTCTGATTCTGGAATTTTGACCAACTTGGCCTCAGTGCTTCAAGAATGGTTGAGCAAGGGAAGGGGGTTTAGAAGCGGTTTTGTGGACACTCTCCTGCGTTTCGTCTGCTCTCCTCTTGACCTTCTTAATATATCTATATAGGTGAGGCAGAGTAGTTTGAAAACAATGGACCGGGAAAATGTAATAAGTCAGAGATCCGTACTTCCGGTCTTGCTATGCTAGGATTTTATTGTATGTATATATTACGACAGTTTCGCCGGGAGGCTTGGCTTCGTCAGGAGATGGCATACATATATATATTATTCTGATAGGTTGAAGGTACAGGTGCTCCTACTCGCTTTTGACTGGGGGGACAAAGTACTCGCTCTCGGTTGCTAATCAGCAACAGAGGCTGATTAGCTTGAGTAGATATTTCTCCTGCGCGTGCTCGTGTGTCGTTCACTCGGGTACTCATTAACAAGTCTGGCTGCCTGATCAATTTCTGATCAATGCCTGACTACATATCTCAAGTCCCCCGAATTTCCGCAGGGCATATAATGAACTTTTGCGGAATACTTCATTTGCCGAAACTGCCGTCAAAAGCACGGCAAGTGCCATGTCTACAATGCACGAATCCCGTTTGTTCCTGAAATATTTCGGCACGCATTATGTTGCACATTCCGAATTATTTCAGAGTAAACTTCAAATGCAGCAGCCAAGGCGCTTCTTGAAGGTCATAAAGATTACAGAAGAATGCCATTTTCAAAGAAATCACTAACTTTTTTGAAGATGACATTCTGCTTTGATCTTTATATCGGAAAGGGGTGCTCTATTTGTGAGTCACAAATAGAGCACCTCTTTCTGACTTTTCATTCTTACATTACCAGCTTGCAAAACTTGTGAAGTATTTTCACGTAATTCAATTACTTTTTTCAAAGTATTTGAACTCTATTCAAGACAGTTCGTACTAAAAGTAACTTGAATACTATTCTAAATACATTTTCAAATTGGTATTTAGTATTTTGTCTGAAATACTTTTGTTCAGTATTTGGCAAAACACTGGAAAAAAAAAAAAGATAATCTCTGATCTTGCAACTTTCAGTAAAACGTTTGTTTCTTCTACCTAATTGTTGCCTTCTTAAGAACACGTAAGCAGTAAGCAGTAGGTATTTTACATGGCATGCATGTGACATCATCATACCATACCAGTGGTCATTTCACTTGGTCTTTCGGAAGAGAAAAAATTTGGTGGTGCGCGATGTAAGTAGCGTAAGGAACGCGCTCACCGGCAAGTTTATTACAACGGCAGCTGATTTGACGTCAGTACAGGTCACTTATTATTTGTTTCACCAGAAGTCAAAGCACATGTGACGTTAAGAGCCGATGGTGCCAACCAAGCAATGTAAAAGGCGCTACGACACGGCCTTCTTCGTCTTTCAGTGCACGTTCCAATTAAGTCAATCAGCCAATTAAGTCAGCCAATAAGACAGTCAATGCGATGTGACCATACACGTTGTGTCTGTCGTCAGTGTCCGTTTGTCTAATAACCTGTCAGTGCGCTCTGAGTTTCGGTAAAATAAATGTAGTTTCTCCGTTTGAATATAGATCGAGGAAAGTGAAAACATATACACTGAAAAACAAATAAATGCAGATCGTTCAAATTTAAAGAAAATTGCCACGTGCGCTCCTGCTCTTTTTCCCAGCCCCATCTTGTGCAACGCCCAACTGGAAGAACTGGTGCAGGTACTATACATGGAAAGCTCTGCTGCCTGCGCGAGCTATAATTATTCGCGGAGGTAGGGCAACTCGGATGAGAGATTACCTGAATTCCATCTCGTCGGACCCAACTGTCTTCGGGGAATCCCTGCATCATAGACACGAAGAACTGGAGGCAGCCGTTCCAGTGGGCGATCAGCATCATCAGGCACACGATGTTCAGCAGCCTCGCATACACCGTCCAATTGGAATAGAGCTGCACCGCGTACAAGTATGCAGTTGAACAAGATAGTCATCGACGGGGTCCACCCCGAATATCTAATTATTATCGCATTACGAAAAAAACTCCGCGTGCCTAATTTCCAAGTGCGACTCTGAAAGCAAGATCAATTTATCTGCGGTGAATTTCTACAAAGGGTTATTTTTAAAGTTATAATTGCAGAAAAATAATTTCCACAAAAATACTTTCTGTGATGGCGGTACGAAGCCATTCGTTTATATTTCCAAGTCAGAAGTGAAACAAAAAATGTTTCCTCGCCCTGTTCAAGCGTTCTTAAAAGTCTGCTTAAAAATAAAAAAGGCCACTGTATAGAGTTTATATTACATTATATATATGTTTCCACCAAACGTTTCTTTAAAGTGTCAGTAAACCAACATCAACAATCGGTGCTTAACTTAATGAGCTTGAGGCTGGCGAAAAAGATGAATCAGTTTTTTTCGCCAGTAGGTACACGGCACGGCAGGCAAGCATACTTGAAGGCATTCGGCTAAAATAAAACACAAAAATGAATTCGAAATATGAAAGTTACTTAAGAGAGGTGAAGTCGTCATACAAGCTAGGTAAGACGAAAAATAAACGGATCCCTGCGAGCCGCCTTGAGTCAGTGAGAGTATTGTATTGTATTGTATTGTATTGTATTGTATTGTATTGTATTGTATTGTATTGTATTGTATTGTATTGTATCGTATTGTATTGTATTGTATTGTATTGTATTGTATTGTATTGTATTGTATTGTATTGTATTGTATTGTATTGTATACGCATGAACAAACCGAGCTGCGCTGCCAGCTGCTGACGGATCGGAAGAGCCTGGAGAGCCTGAGGAGCTTGAGCAGGCTGAGCAGCTTGGTCAGGTGGATGAAGCGTATGGCCGACAGTCCGTCGGGACTGACGCTGCGGAATCCGGCGAACACGGAATCGAGCAGCACGCAGATGTAGTCCAGGGGCACCGTGCTCACAAAGTCCAGGGCGAACCACGACTTGGCGTAATGGCGAGCGATGTAGCCCGGGTCCAGGTTCACGCGCTCGGGGCCCTCAGTGGTCATCACTCCTGCGCGGTGGTTATTTACTCATATTTCAATCCCCTCAGGGCCCATATAGGGCGTTACAGAGGGGTAGGGCATGGAAATTTCCACAGAAAACATGAACAGTATAAGAGGACCAACTAAGTACGGAACTTTAATTAGTCCGGCATGTTAGCAAAGGAGATTAGTTAACACCTCTATAATTAGTTTTATGGATGGTATATTTACCATCAATGCGCGTTGGGTAAAAAAAGAAAAGAAAATACGTTACTCGTTACTTGCAAAAATGAAAGACGTTTACAACTCCCTGTAAGGCCGAATTAGGGCGCAGCTCTTAAGGAGGAGGAGGGAAGGGTACTGAGGGGAGGGTATAACCCTCTTCCGTCGTCCTCCCTCGTGATCCTGCCTGCTACTCCTCCTCCCCTCATCCTCTTTCTCCACCCCCTCCTTCTCCTTCACCTCCTCCTCATCCTTCAACCTCCTCCCCTCGCCTCCTCCTCCTTCTCTCTCTTCCGCCTCCCCTCCACCTCCCTACTACTGCTGGGGGGTCACGTGACCTATTGGGGTAACGTGACCTGGTGGGGTCACGTGACCTTACGGTTACGCCGACGGCGACGCCGACGCTGCTCAAGCCGGAAACGGGCGCCTAAGACCTGCGCTCTAATAAAAAGAACGCGTTACCGTTAAAAGTGACGCAAGTTACTTTCGCGGTACTTTTTATTTATGCATTAAGTTTTTTTCTAAATTGGGAGTGTTTGCGTGCGAACAAGTGAAGCAACAATTTAAAAGTATGTGAGTTTTGAGTGCCAGAACCCATATAACTCGGCGGCTAAAAACAAAAACAAAAAACAAAAAATGAAGTGTCATTTTTTAAGTTTTAGAAAATATGTAACGAGTAAGTTAACTATGTTAGTCGTTCTTCGTGAGGAGTAATGTCAGTACGTTGTACTTTACCGTTTCGAACATTTAACGAGTGCGTAACAACGCTATTAAAGATTACCGGTAACGCCGTTACATGTAACCACACTTGTACGTACTTAATAAGTTACAAGTAACTGATTACTTGTAATCAAATACATTTTATTTTACCTTTTTAATGCTTCAAACACTTTTTTGTGGTAACGTTCGATGTAACTCAATTACTATTGTTCCGTAATCAGATACAAGTAATCAGTGACAATTATACTATTCTAGGTTTCCGAAGGAGCTAAAATTATTAAGCTTTTTACGTAAAAACTTCCTCTGTCGCCCCGTGCATCACTCGTCTATGTTGCACTAACGTTGGACATTTTTGTTTAGCCCTAAACAACTGAAAAAACGTACCATGATACCCGAAGATTAAAAATGTCAACGCGCTCAGCGACGTTCTGACTTTCGAGCGTGCCTCATTTCCCGTGTACGGCTTGATAGGACCCCGGTTAGCCACGGCATAGACGAGTGTGTTCTGCCCTGACCTCATCGAGCCCCGACAAAAAAAACACAAAAAAACAATCGATTTTCATTTTAGAGTGCAGCTCTTAGGCGCCGGTTTCCGGCTTGAGCGACGCCGTTTCCGCCGTCGGCATAACCGCGCGGTGCATGATGGGTAAATTTCCCCGCTAAATTTATCGGAGAATTTCCCCCGCCAAATCTAGCGGGAAATGTTTCCCGCTAAATTTAGAGGAAAATTTCCCTGCTAAATCTAGCGGAAAATTTCCCCGCTAAATCTAACGGTAAATTTTCCCCGCTAAATCTAGCGGAAAATTTTCCCCGCTAAATTTAGCGGAAAAAATTCCCCGCTAAATTTAGCGGAAAAGTTTCTCTGAACGGGAGCCGAATAGGAGAGGAGGAGGGGCATAGCCCCCTCTCTGTACCTTTCCTTCCTCCTCCTCAAGAGCTGCGCTCTAATTCGGCGTTACAGGGAGTTGTAAACGGTTTCATTTTTTGATTTTGCAATAAAAAGTAAAAACAAAAAGTAACGTAAAAAGTAATCAATCACTTTTGTGATGCAGTAATTGATTACTGTAATCAGCTACATTTTTCAATAGAATAATTGTAATTGTAATCGGTTACTTTTTTTCCCACCTAACGCGTACACGACCGCCTGCAACGCGTTACTGCCAACATTGATCCTGTGGAGGACACAGATACGAAGGGACAGCATTATCACTCAACGATTATTTTCAGTCCAATCAGAGAGCTAAGAAAGTGGTGGAAAAAATATATTTAAATTATAAATGTTGTACTTTTTCTTTTTCTTCTTTTTTTGGGGGGGGGCGGGGGCGGGGGGGGGGGGCAGAGAGAAAGTTTGGTTGATGGCGGAGTGTGCTGAACTCGATGCACTGCAGCTCGGAATTTCGCAGTAGTGCGTGTAACCTCTTGATTTTAGAGCGCAGCTCTTAGGGGCCCGTTTCCGGCTTGAGCGGCGTCGGCGTCGCCGTCGCCGTCGCCGTCGCCGTCGGCGTAACCGCACGGTGCATCATGGGAAATGTCCCATAATGCACCGCGCGAGCTCCCCACCCGTGTCACGTTACCTCGTGGGGGGGCACGTGACCCCCCCCCCGAGGTCACGTGACCCCCGAAGTCACGTGACCCCCTCCTCGAGGTCACGTGACCCCCCGAGGTCACGTGATTCCCGCCGATGTCGCGTGACCCCCCGATGACGTCATCGTCACTGATGACGTCACCGGCATCCACATCGTCATCGTTATCATCACTAATGACGTCACCGGCATCCACATCGTCATCGTCATCATCACTGATGACATCACCGGCATCCACATCGTCATCATCACTGATGACGTCACCGGCATCCACATCGTCATCGTCATCATCACTGATGACGTCACCGGCATCCACATCGTCATCATCACTGATGACGTCACCGGCATCCGCATCGTCATCATCGCTGATGACGTTACCGACATCCCCATCGTCATCATCACTGATGACGTCATCAGTGACGTCACTGATGTCGTCACCGGCATCCGCATCGTCATCGTCATCATCAGTGATGACGTCATCAGCGACGTCACTGATGACGTCACCGACATTCGCATCGTCATCATCACTGGTGAAGTCATCAGTGACGTCACTATTGACGTCATCGGTACCCGCATCGTCATCGTCACTGATGACGTCATCAGTGACGTCAGTGATGACATCATCGGCATTAGGGGTCACGTGACCCCCAAGGTCACGTGACCTCCCCCTGGTTAGTTTAACCCCCCAGTGCCCTTCCCTCCTCCTCCTCAAGAGCTGCGCTCTAACTCGGCGTTACAGGGAGTTGTAAGCGGCTTTCACTTTTTTTTTTATTATTTCAACACAGGCGGGCGTTGTTATGGCGGACATTTATACCATCCTTATTGACTTCATGCACGCTAAAAGGTCGGGTTAGAAGTCGTACTGTTTGGTCAAATTGGTCAACGCGAAAAAAAGTACGAACCTTTTGAAAAACGAGGTGTATAAACAGAAATCGGCACACTGTTGTTCACCAAATCAGATACGGCATCTAGGCAATCATAAAAGATGTCTACAGCAGAATTTCTATAGTCGGTGAGTGAACTTTCTTTTTTTGGTAACACTTCGTCGCACGCGCACTCAAAGCCCGGCAAAAAAAACAAAAAAAACTCGATGGTTGTTTAAGACCCAGGAGAACTCGTCACAAGTAAACTCGTCATAAGTGAACTCGTCAAATAGGGCAAGTCGTCATAAAACATCTCGTACGTGGGGAAGTCGTTACAGAGGTCAACTGGATATTTGTCCACTTCCTGACAACTTACCTTTTCCGCCAATCACGCGTTTGCAATTCAACTTCGATAACTGATGATGGATAATAATTTACGCTCTTTTTTTAAAAAAAGCATGGTCCTAATGAAAAAACAGTGAGTGCGCAGGCAAGCTGGTGGATGTTGATCATGATGTAGAAAACCAGAGACTGTGGAAAAAGCAGAGAAACGGTGTCGAAAAAGAAATACAGGGGAAAAGAACGTACACTGGCTAGTTATGTCTTGTCCACCACAATCTTGGTATCTCTCTGTCACTAATGGAAAAACATGGGTGGCAAACGTTTCAGTCATGCGTGCGCAGTCTGCATCGCGCACGTAGACGAGCTACATTCTTTCCGTGTCGGGCATGCTCAGCATCTGTCTGTGTCGCTCACACGCTGAAAAAGCTTGGAGGTGGATTACAAATGGAGTCCTGAAAGTTTGATATTTCATATCAACTTAAAAAGGCAACTAAAGACTAAACTTTCTAACGGGACACTACACAGGAGCTGAGTAACAAAAGCGACCGAAGACTAAAAAAAGATAGACGCGGACCACAAGGTCTTCAAACATTATCTCCGGTTTATCGACCAGTTGCCCCAGTGACGAATTGTCCGATGTGACGAATTGCCCTGCTACCAGTTGCCCTATTACGAATGGTCTTTCGACGAACATTTTTAAAAACATGTCTCGGAACATTTTTAACAACATGTTCCGAGATTCTATAGAATCTCGGAATGTTGAACAATGGAGAACAGAGACGCCACTGAAGACGATACTTAACAACTGCTACGCTTCCTAACATGCTGATGTAGAGGTCTGCATACCACAGGATGCCCCATGTTTTCCCATTTTGCAGAAAGGTCCCACCTTGCAAAGCTTACAAAAACGGCCTGATAACAGAGGAATGGCGAAACTAAAGATAAGACTGAAAACCCATCACAACCGCCCCTACAAACAAACAAAATGAGAAGCCACTTCTCAAACCACGACAAAGCCACTCGAGCCCCCCCAAAAAAAAGTATGTGAAAAAATTTTAAAAATGAAAAGATGAGAGCGACCACCCTCGCTACTACGGGACCACCTGGAGCTAGATGTCCTCTTCGACCAGTTTTATCCCAGTTTTCCTATGACGAGTTGGCTGTGACGAGTGCGCCTGTTCCCGGATGTTTATCTGTGTATTGCTCATAGCTTATGATTATATTTATTTATTTTTTTATGTTCATGGTCCGTGTCTACGCGTTTAGAGCGGTTGAGCTAGAAGCAGCTTCCAAAAAGTAATCCCTATGAGCCAGTATGAATGCCACCAGGTCGATTCGAAGCTTCTGGAGCTGCTACGCTCCGTGCGTACCATACCGGTCCTGAAGTTGAATACGATGTCGACGAAGAAGATGGAGTCCGAAGCGAGGTGGAAAGTCATCCAGTAGATGTCGTTGAGGTCGCTGAAGAACGCCACGTCCACGGGAATCAGCACCAGGTTGGCCACCAGCAGCACCGCCAGCCAGCCATCCCAGTACATCCTGCGGTGGAACCGTATACGCTGTCAAGGTCAAAGTAAAACCTTATCTAGTCACAGTCTAAACAGCTCACGGCAAGTCCTGAAAACCTTTCTCTACGGCCAATGAGGCGTGAAGATAATGAGCCACGCCCTTTGTTTCCTAAATTGTCAGTAGTCTGCGGCATCATAAGAACTCCTGGAGATGCCCCGCCCACAAACACGACGCCGCTTTGCTATATGTCCAATGCGCGAGGCGGAGCTTGGCTTTCGTTGGCGGGGCCGGTCCTATTGGGCAGGAGATCGAACTATGGGGGGCGCTCTGACCCGTTTGTTTTCCCCACGCTCGGTGTTTACTCAACACAAGGCCTGTACACATGCCAACAGGCCTTATGGGACTGGCCATGTCATCTTCTACAATAGAGCGCGAGGCACAGTTTAATGTAAAAAATACTAACAATCGACGAAGCGATGTTAAGTGCCGGATCTATCTTCTGAGAATGCGAGCTTGACCCACTTCGGCTTTTGTGCTAAGCTGGGACCGTGCATGCTGCATTGTTCATGCAGGCCGTCGTGGAAACAAAAGAGCCCCTCCTCCCCCTCACCGGAGAACACGAACTCTAGTCGAACGCTGACGCCGCGTTCGGTTATGTCGGCCGAGCGCTGCGTCATTGTGTTTGTTGTCCCCATCCGTGTAGTTGATAAGTTAACCGCTTGGGGCGTAACGGTCTGTCCTCCTCCCCAATAGAGATATCATACTGCAGCAGACAATTGCACTCTAAAAAAAGTCTGTGCGTCTACTTTCACGAACAACACTCGAAGAGCCGATCAGCGCAACTTACGGAGGCAGCTCAGCGAATGACGATGTCGAAACATATGTTTTGATAAAAAAAAAACGCAGTCTGAGTTGTGACATTGAGGGCCGGTTGCACCAACGTCGCTTAGCGCAAAGCGGAGCTTAGCCGGGAACTTAAGCTTAGTTTCGGTTTCGTTCGGTTGCACCAAACTCGCTTATCGCTAAACCTAGCACTAAACTACGCTTAACTTAAGCGCCCAACATTGGGCGCTTTGCTTCTGGTTGTTTCTTAATCCTGGATTAAAAACATGGCGGCTGGTTTGTCACGGTTGACGCGGTGGACGAAATTGGTTGTGCAAAGTGTTTTAGGCTACATCAGCGTGAAAGTCTCGACAAAATGACTTTCGATTGTGACAAGGATGCAAGATATTGTCGCGTGAAGTGTTTATCGACCCCTATTTTCAAGTTGGCTCTCCACTTTCAGGGCGTGTTAGCCCTAACCGAGAAACGTACGGAGCTGTGGGGCTCACGTCTGGGGGGCTATGTTGCGCTTTTTGCACTCCCAGGAGACTAGGGAGAGGGAAGTGACGTCAACGACACAGCAAACGCAGATTGGGTGTTGATTTCGTTTTCTTCTGTCAACATCCAATCTGCATTTGCTGTGTCGTTGACGTCACTTCCCTCTTCCAAGTCTCCTGGGAGTGCAAAAAGCGCAACATAGCACCCCTGTATTCCCGTTGCTTCTTCTGTCAACGAGCTTATTCGTATGTAATTACTAATTTTCGCATAGCTGTAACGTATTGTTATTTACCACCTTGTTTATTTACACTTGCAGCGCGTATCCTTCAATCTGATCAGCGCGCAGCGCGTATCCTTCAATCTGATCAGCGCGTTGAATAGTGGCAGTACATGATCTCGGCGATCAGCTGATTGTCGACACCTCTGCCGTTTGCATTAGATTGCGGCGCTTTTAAGTAATAAAACAGCGAAAATTCAATTTCTTTCGTTTTCTGAGTTTTGATACAATCTTCAGTGAATTTTTCTTATCTCGCGAGTAGAATCTTGGCTTCAGAAAACTGTATCGTTCCATAACTGTAACTTTTTTGGTGATCGCATTTTTTTTTTATATACTTTGCTATATATCTTTCATTCGTTTCCCGAGAACGAGATACTGTTGTTTCCGAGTTGTGCTCTGTGATGGTGTTTTCCGTTTACTTTTGTCGTTTGTTGTCATTGTGACGATGGTTGAGACTATATACCGGAACACGTTTTCAATAAAATTCAGTTGAAAGTTGCGCCTTGTTGTGTCCTCCGTAACTTTTTTGGTGATCGCGATTTTTTAGGAATATTTTGCTTTATATCTTTCATTCGTGGCGACGACAAATCGTAACGACTACTATGTTAGATTCGGTCATTGCTGTATCGGGGCAGGCTGGGGCAGGTGATGCGAAGAGACGACCGTTCTTATCGGCGCGATGTGATGTACTAGTGGGAGTTTTTTTGTTTTTTTTTTTTCTGAACTCGACAGTGTGAAACTGAAGTCCGTTTGAGGCTGCAGCGGATGTTCAACGACGGTACAGTGCAGTTCTGTCACCTTGCTGATAGCAACGAGTACCGTCGATGCAAGGTCTCGTGACCTGACCTCTCGACGACTTCTATTCGACGATTTCCGGGCATTTTCGCAGCTGCCGTGGCGAGTTCGTCACTGTTTTGAACTTGATCGGTCTCAGGCTTGACTTGGTTTTAGTAGTCATCTTACCTGCCTACTTATATCCATGGTGTTTTGTCTTCAGCGATGTAGTGAGTACAGTGTCCTTCTCGCGTTCGGTGAGTTTTGGGGCCCCCGATGGCTCCTTCGCCTCAAAATGTGAGCACGAAAACTACTACCACTGTCAAAATATCCTGTTATCAACCGATATTAAACACACAATCACAGATGTAACGAGCATTCGTGTTTATTTGAAGCTTTGACTTCTGTAATTGCAAGTTAAACGAAAATATGATTGAATTTGGAGACCTTTAATTTGTTACTCACCGAAGAAATACAGCCAAAAGCAGACGCCGACGACAACTGCTACGGCGGTTTTTCTTCTTTTTTTTTTTTTTTTGTTTACATCACGTGATTCCTCTCCGCCAATCGTATTCGTCGCTCTGAGCGTTCCCTAGTTTGCTCTGTTTGTCCCTAGATTCCCTACGCAAATCCAGCGTTTAGCTAGGGGCGCGTCTGTAAAGCCGGCTTAACCTTGGTGCAACCGGAATTTAAACCCGTGCTTACCGAAGCTCGGTTTAGGGCGCTAAGCCGGCTTAGGAAAGCGCCGCTTTGGGTTAAGATAAGCGACGTTGGTGCAACCGGCCCTAAGCAATGCAAGCATGACGTTTTGCATTGCTTAATGTCACAACTCAGACTGCGTTTTTTGGTCATAACATATGTTTCGACATCGTCATTCGCTGAGCTGCCTCCGTAAGTTGCGCTGATTGGCTCTTCGAGTGTTGTTCGTGAAAGTAGACGCACAGACTTTTTTTAGAGTGTGCTAGCTATCTTTATTACTAATTGTACTCTTTGTCGAGCAGCCAGAGAAGAAGCTTCTGGTACGGTCTAAGCCCTCCTGCTTCCGCCATGCTGGAAAATCCCCGGGCCGTCACAGCTCTTCGGAGGCATGATTTCGGTCGTAACAGTTGACATCTGGTTGCTCACGTACTTTGCGCAGGTATTGGACGCGACGGCTGCGTCAGCGTTCGGCATGAACCCGGAACCAATCACGCGCTTTGTGTCCAATGGATGAATGGATGGATGCTAACGGCTGTGCCCTTTATACACCAACTCATGTTTACAAACAAACCGGAGCGCCCGGAGCGCCCCTAGCGGACGCCACCGGCGCCGCGCATGCGCGATGGGGGTGTGGGCACAAAGCTCGCCGTCGCCCATAAACAAACCATTGAAATGCGATGTTGTCGGCGCCGGTTTGAGTCCCCGCGCTCTTTTTCGCGTGGGAACTGTTGATTCTACGTCCTCCTAACGATGTCTGACTACTTGAGCAGCGTCAGCGAAATTAACGAGGCTCGTTACACCGCAAAACTTCGCGTGAATAATCTGACATGCGGCGATTCATTCCGCGTGGACGCCGCAGAACGTACGCTAAAGCCTGATTCACGTGATGAGATTTCGCTCGCAATTTTCAGTAGCGACGTCGCTCGGACTGCAAAAGCGTGAACCGTAGCTGAGATGGTCGACGTCGATACTGAAAATCGCAAGCAGAATCTAACCAAGTGAATCAGGCATAACAAGTCGGTGATGGCCACTGGTAACAATGATCAACATCTCCTTCTCCTAGTATCTACTGTTTACGTCGAGCCTGCTTACCGACCTTCAAACTTAAGTCTTTTAAGGCCTGCACTTAATTCTTATCGCAAGTACCGGGCCCACGTTTGGTCTACGGGCCGGTGTCCTCTAAAAGAGCAGACGACAAGCAGAAACGTTAGAAAGAGCAGACGACAGTTCGAACGATCAGGCGACCGTTTGAACTTGAAGACGCACTAAACGTAGCTTGCAGGTGGTCCGTACAACTTGACGGTTTTACGGCGTTCATTTTGGAATCAAACAAATAAATTTGATGGCCAGTAGTCTCCGTGAATTTAACTCAAAATGCTTCCCGCCCAAGCAATCGTGGTCCGACGGTGTCTGGTTTTCCCTTTTCACGGCACATATCCGCGTTCTCGGACGAACCGAGCGCATGAAAACTGACCTTCAAACCTTTCTCGACTCTCTTGGTACAGCCCCAGTCGCAGCATTCTGACGACAAGGCAGGTTTTTGTCTGGTTCCTTTCAAAACAACGCAGGAATACACGTCTCAAATGGGCACTTCCGCCCCACAGCCCCAGACCGGAAGTGCGTCCGACGCGCCACCACCGCGCCGTGACGTAACAGAGATGAGTTCGTGTATATCGGGCGGTAGCTAGCGCCGCCTAGCCCAGACGTTAAGAACCGAAAGTATGTTTTCTTTCCCTCGCCAATTTGCTTACCCTCTGCAATTTTGCAACTATCACCAGGCGGCCCAAGCAATAGCGATCTGCAATGTTGCTCGATGGCCAATCTTTAAAAGGGTCTATTGGCGTGTATCAACAGTT